TGGACTTAACCACAGGGCTTCATATTCAATTACAGGCTCCTTATTAGGTTACAGAAGCTAAAATCTTTTAATTTTGCTTCCAGCCAGACTTGAACTGTTGACCTTGACTGTGGAGGATATGGGAGCTTAACTGCTTAGCTATGAGACTCACACCCCTATTTTATTTTAAAAATAATATCTAATTTTATTTAATATTTTAGATTTAGGATTTAAAAATAGACAACTTACTAGAATTATTAAAATTGTTGGATCTATTTAGCAAAAATTTGAAAATAATCATGCAAGTTGTAATATTTTAATTTCTCATCTTTAACTTTATAAAAAAAAAATATTCATATAATCAATTATATACTCAAGGTTATAATATTTTTATAACTTGGTAGAATTCAATTAAACCAGAATCTAAATATCTTCAAGAATTAACATTAAGAATTTTAGCAATTGTTCCAAATAATATTTTATATAAAAGAAAATTTTTATTACTTGTTTAGTTAACTAAAAACAGAAAAAATATAAATAGATATTCAAAATTTAGAAACAATTGCAAAATTATGTACATATTATAATTCTAATACAAAAAAAGAACTTTCATATTTTGCAAATAAAATGACTAAAGATAAAGTTTTAGAAATATTAAATCAAACAAATATTAAAAAATTTAAAGAAAGATTAGAAAAAGAAGGCTTTAATAAAGATAAATTATTATTATATAATAATTTAGATTTTAATAAAACTTATACAATAACTAAAGAAAATTTAATCTTATTTTTAGAAGAAAATTTAGATTTAAATAATGAAATTTTTATTGATGATTTAGAAAATTTCACTAATGAAGAAAATAATGAAGATTTATTATTAAATTCTAATAAAATTTTGGAATATATTAATAAACAAATTAGTCAAATTTCAGAACAAGATAATTATGATTGGGAACCTGAAGATTTTATAGATTCAGATAATAATTAAAAGTAAATATTTAAATAATTTTTATTTTTATTTTTTAAATATAAATAATATTTATTAAATTTAATATTAAATTAATTATATTTATAGATTTTTAAAATTTTTAATTATAAATTTTAATATTTATAATATATATTAAATTTTATTTTTATTATTAAAATTTTTTATTTAAATAGAAAGTTTTTTTTATTGAATTAGCAGATTTTCTCTTTCTATTAATATTTTTAAATTTTAGTTTAATTTTTATTTTTTAATATTATTTTTATTTATTTTTTGTTAAAATCAATTTTTTTTAAAATTAAAAATTTAGTTTATTTTTATATTTTTTATATTATATATTTTATTTTGTATTTTATTAAATCTAATATTTAAATACTAAAACAACTAAATTTTAATTTAAAATATTTATTTATTTATTATTTAAATTACATAAACTAATTATATTTTAAATTTATTTTATTATATTATAATTAAATTTTTTAATATATAAATATAGGTCATATCATTATTTTTGATATATTATATTTTATAAAATAAATTAAAAAGCTTATTAATAATATTAAATCTAATAACTGTTATTT